CCAAATTAAGGCCATTAAACTGTTCAAATGCTTACAAACCACTAATTGTTTAAATATTTTGAATATCTGTAAAAAAAAAAAATATCAATTTAATTTGTTAAAAAAGTATAAGCACAACATCAGTAGTTTTTTGATAGTATTTATCTTAAATGTATTTAATATTTTATGTGTGTATATAAAATGTCTTATTTAGTTTTTTTAGTATCATTAAGATGTATCATAAAAAATATCAATTTAATTTGTTAAAAAAGTATAAGCACAACATCAGTAGTTTTTTGATAGTATTTATCTTAAATGTATTTAATATTTTATGTGTGTATATAAAATGTATTATTTAGTTTTTTTAGTATCATGAGATGCATAATGTTTACAGAGTATTATGATTTATAGTTGAATTTTTTTTTCACAATCAAAATCAGACCACGTAAACTAACATTAATTTTGTCAAAACTTAAGGTATTTTATGCTAGGCCCCTTAAGTAAGCATTTTATCTGTTTCAAAAGATTAGTACAATACCATGTTATAAATAGTCTTCCTTCCAGTGTTGTCTTCCCAGGCATATCTTCTGTTAAATTCTCAATCATGTTTCTTATCTTCGCTGTCAAGAGTCAAAAATAATTGTTTGCCAGACAATCTATAGTGTCCAGGGGACACATAGAAAGTTGCCTTCTCTCTCGCCTTTAACGTTCGTACTTTTTTGTATGGAGGATAGTAAGAAAACACCATCAAAACACGGCCATTGGAAAAAAACCTAATACCAAAAACAAATTAAAATATCATACATTTTAGTAGTACATTTTTAAGTCTTTTAGTATTGTCAGTTGTCATACATATAAAAATCATATTCTGAAACAAGTTTTGATCAATTTAAAAAAAACCTTGTATTGAAACATCATAATATTATTAAATCACAATTATTATTGTAAATGTTATAAAAACAAATGTGTAAAATAGTATTATTAAAATTCTGAATTCTAGTTAGTTGCTAAATATTTCCTAGAAAATTATTAATTTATTACTCTAAATAAATTTGAGTGTAATTGTTAGTAATTTAGTAAAAAGTTTTAATATTTTAAATGTTTATTGTGGTGTTTAAATTTATGTAAATAATGAAACTTAAAAAAATTATCACCTTAAATATCTGTAATAAAAAACTTGAAAAGAAGGATCATTAGTGTTATCGCTGAAAGATTCTTCCCCTCTTTGAACATAAGTTATTTTGCATATGTAACAACCAATTGTCAGTACATTGGGTTATTCTATGAACATTTGTTGCCAATTTCCATCATACGAGACTAAGTCGTTGACATTTGAAGGCCCAAAATCTAAATAAAAGAAATACTAATAATCAATTATTCAAATAAAAATTGGACATATATTAATTTCTTGTATATTTTTGTCAAAAATTCATTCAATTCAATAAATTATGAGAAATAAAAAAAAAATATATATATAGCTGGTTATTTCTTAAATGTAAAAAGTATAACAAATACCTAATAAATTATTTTTAACAAGATAAACTATGAACGTAAATTCTACTTAATGGATAGTTAAAATAAAAATAAAAATTTGAATTGTATTTACTTAAATAATTGAAGGTTATTAAATTAAATTATAAAAACTGTAGAATTTGTTAAAATATCTTTGCACAATTTCAAATACAATTAGATAAGTTAGTTTTGAATTTTGGAAGTCTAATATTATTAAACCTCTTAACTCTCTAATTTAGTATGACTCACAAATTTAATTGTAATATAGTAAATAGTTTATTAATATTTTAACAGTTTTTAGGTATTTGTTTATTATCGCCTCTTTAGTATTTACTGTCCATTGCATACAATTTATCGATATTTCTCTATATTTCTATACTATCTTACTTTTAGGTTAGTCTAGTATGTGATCAATTTATGGAAAAAGGGTAAATAATAGTTATAATATTTTTTATTATATTAGTTTGCAGTCGACTTGTCGTTATATTGTAGGCATGTATAGTTTAAAGTGGGTATTTAACCTATTTTGCAAAAGTTATTAGCTAATAATAAAATATTGTTAAAAATTAATTTTATTGAATTATTTAATGCAATATTTAATATTGTCATTCAATTTTTACAACCAAAATATATTCTTGAAACAAATAAAATGTATGATATTTAATGATCTTTATAAGACTGTCTTATTTTTTTCATGTGTAATTATGAGATATTACCTAATTAAATTATTACCTATGCAACTATTAATTGTAATGAACATGTTATTATTTGAATGTTTTGTAACGGTGTTATATTATAACAAATATCATAGTACAACGGACAGTCACCCCAGTGGCGGGGCAATAATAAACAAGTAATTACCATTTTTAAAAAAATAGTTTAAATGCTCAATATGTTAACTTACTTGAAGCATGGTGGATGCCATAACTTGGGATCTATGGCACACAAGTACTAACCATGACAAACAGCTGCACACTGTTCTAACATACGTAGATAGAGATCATAAGATACAGCCCACCGAATTATGTATACAAGAGCTGACAAATGAGTGGTCTAGATCTATAACACAAATAAATTAAGAACAATCAAAACATTTAAAGAGTTGGATATTGTCATACTATATAGTTGTGAAAGTGCTGGAAAGCATATTAGAGGTCCCATTATTCTCTGAACTCTCAAGAAAAGGTCTTATTTGTTATCATATTCGCCTTTGCTTTTGTCATTGCTCACACTATTTTCATCAGCTAAAAAGAAAAGGCGTTAAGTCCATTCCACAAATACTTTAGTAACAGTTCTCACTAGTTGTATAAATAAAATGTAAAACCAATTCTTCAGCAGCAACTTTTTTCTCAATGTTGGGGTCTAACTTCAGCGCTCGCTTGTAGCAACACGTCACCTCGTAGTGGAAACGCTCACGTTCGTGGTCGACTCACCTTGCGGATCAACACTCTTAGCATCGACCTGCAAAATAATTTAATAAACAACATTGCGGAATAACATGGAGTCGTGATGGCGACGGTAAACACTACACCGTAACTCTCCCCGTAACGAAACAATATTTTTTCAAGTTTATAAACCAGCGGGTACCCCGGAAGACGTCGTCGGCATCCACGTACCGTTAAATCTTCGGTTTGGTAGAATCTATTGGCAAACGACTTGAGGAACTTTTGACTGTGGTGAGTAACGAAAAAGTCGAGGAAAATCGCGAACATCAGTATCAGAGATAGGATGATGATCCTGGCCATTAATCGATCGTAGTGCAGCACGTAAAGGATAAGCATCGCCGATCTCCGAACGCACCACTCAGTTGTAACTTGTATTTAGGTCGGTACCTACCATGATACAGTAGCAGTTTATTATAATAATTTATTGTAATATTATTATTAATTATCATTAATTATTATAATATTTTATTATTCATACTATCATGGCAGCTACCACCTACGTAGCGTCGTCGCCGGATCAATACTAAAACGACGGTGATAACACGGACGAGATGATAATCGTATCACTATATTATATTTTATAGCACAGAACAATATAGAATAGACACTCGATCAGCTGTGAGGGTTTACGTATCCCTACGGTATGATGTATTGGACTATAAAAGTTGTACCGTATCCGTAATCTGATAGAACGTTAGCAACGTGTATCCCTCTTTGTTACGGAATTTTTATAAACGATTAATAAGGATAAATAATTTATTTTTCATATTTTAAGTATATCAATATTAAATTTTGGTAAAATGAATAAGTATTTTGTTTTAATATAAATTAAAAACTATAATGTAATTTTACATTGGTTTATTGTTAATGAAATAATAATAATAATATATTGTATTATTATTCTGTAGACTGATAATATTGATATGATTTATTTAAATGATAACATATGCCACGCCCCCTTAGAGACCGTGCTCAAGGCCACAGTCACCCGATTTTGCCAATACACAGAGTGTCTATACCCTGTTTATAGCAAAGTGGCGAACCAGTGACTTCGCCACGTCATACTCCCTCGCCATGTCGGTCGCGCTCGCTGCGTTGGCAACACCGCTCGGCCCTCCGCGTCGTTCGCGACCGCGAAGTGTCGGGCGGCTGCCAACGGTCTCTCTCTCGGCAACCGTCAACCGTCGTACGCAGTCCGTCCCGAGTACCGCCGCCATGTTTTGCCGTTTGGCAAAGCAGGCTTCTCGCACCGCGAAGCCCACGTGACCGACGCCGACTTTCGATGACTTAAATGTATATATTATACGCATCCGAATGACATTAAATTAATAAACACGCCTTTTGTACAACAAGCTATTCGTTTTTCTTACACAAATTCCGGCCGAGTACCGACGTACCCGTGCGAACGTTGGAGGACGCCCGCGATAACGGCGACACCTCCACAGCAATATACTATTGTTGTCGGTCCGATCTTGGTGAACAACATAACGTTATTGTTATTATTTGATGAAACAAATTGATTTTAGAAGAGCGAGCGCAGGGAACGATTTATTTGGTGATACGAAACCCATGTCTGGTGCCGCTGACGTCCATGTTCCTGCACATACCTCTACCACGTCTTGCCCCTTGCCAAAGTCTCCACCGCTTCCGTCGCATAACGCGAGTAGCGCCATCGTCGTCGTTGGTACGGCAGGGGCGAAATCGTTGCCCACGTCCGTACTGCTAGCCGTCACGTCGTCGTCGTCATCCGTCGCTCTACACGACCGAACCGAAGTCGGGTGCCCGCCGAGCCGCCAGAGTGTCTCGCGCGTCATTGGCGACCGAGCTCTTTCACGTATCCCCCGATCCTCTACGTCAGTGTTTCCCAACCTTTTTACCACCACGGACCACTTCGACAATATTTTATAGGTCCACCTCAATTTTACGCAAACTAGGAAGACCTTTTTTTTTTTTTTACTCATAGACCACCTATGACTGGCCCACGGACCACCGGTTGGGAAACACTGCTCTACGTCGACGTCTCTTGTCCGATGTCTTCGGCCAAGGGCCGTATCAACTTCGTGATTAGTCGACGCCTTCACCTCGGCAGCAACACATTCCACGTACAATGCGTTTCACGCATTTCCACGCCACCGAAAACGGGTTCAGCCGTCGTGGAGCGCTTTTTGCTCCCGGATCTAGCCAACCTACTAGTTCACCGAATCTATTGAACACTTCGGCTCCCTTAGCCGGAGTTCTCTCTTCATTGACGTCCTGCACCGCGTCGCCCAGAGGTGGTCCGCCTTCAGATGGTGCAGTGGGTGCGAGTAGCGCCATCGTCGTTGGTACGGCCGGGGCGAAATCGTTGCCCACGTCCGTACTGCTAGCCGTCACGTCGTCGTCGTCGTCATCCGTCGCTCCACAGGACCGAACCGAAGTCGGGCGCCCGCCGAGCCGCCAGAGGGTCTCGCGCGTCGTTGGCGACCGAGCTCGCTACGCCCACGAACCCGTCTCGCCTTGGGTGGCCGGAGAACGTTCATGGGTGACTTACCGACGGGCACCGTCAGTGCTCTTTCACGTATCCAGCGATCCTCTACGTGACTACGTCGACGTCTCCTGTCCGATGTCTTCAACTTCCTTCACCTTGCCCTTGATTTGATCTATGCACTTCTTCGACGTCATTGTTTCCGATATCCTGGTCGTTATCATCGGGGGTCTCTATTTCATCGATGATGTCGTCTAACGTCTCCATTATGTTTGCAATGATGTCTTCATCCAATACATTTTGTTGGTTTGTTGAAGACATTTTTAATTTTGTGCACATACGACGAGAGAAGTGGAACACTGAATTGAAAGTGAACGAGATTTCGATTACTTCCGTCATCGAGGCCGAACAAATCGAAATCCTCCCATATGTTTATTAGTTATTACTAGCCAGCGACTACGTACATCGTTCTTATATTTAATACTTGTGATTTTTAATCTGATTGTTCAAAAATGTATTAAGTAATAACTATTTTATTGAAAATGTGTTTTTTTTCCTGCTGTAATAGCTACAGTCAACTCGCGATATAACGAATATCGATATAACGAAAATCTTGATATAACGAATAAAACTACCGGTCCCTTGAAAATATCGCGGTATAATATAATTTCGATGTAACAAACTTTCGATATAACAAATTTTTTTCTCGGTCCCTTGAAGTTCGTTAAATCGCGAGTTGACTGTAATTACTTGTTTGTGTAACAAATTTTGAATTTCATGGGACCAACTAAAATTCCTCTTGTCTTTAAGTATATATCAGCGGTATTTTAAACTCAACCACATAAAAATACATATATATTTATTTTTACTGACAACGTATAAATTGATTTTACAAACATTATTATTTGTTACTCAGAAAATAGCTTATTTTCACTATATAATTTAACAGATGAATATAAACATTTAACTTGGACATATTATACTTGTTAACATTTTTTTTAAATACCCAGACTAAACTATGTATTTACTATTTAGATTTTTATAATTCTATTTTGTTTAATTTTACTAATGTTATAAATAATTTATTTTTTTATCAATAACTAGGTACAACTAATTCTGTTATATTTATTTTAATATTTTATTATCGAATACTGATTTACAAAATTTACAAATAAATCATATACATGTATTGCTGATACTAATTGTTTGTTACACATTTATATTCAATTAATTTAAGTACAAATTTATAATAATCATAACATTTAATCTTTATTAGAGATAAGTAAGAGATTGAGAAAGACAATACACACTCTAGTTAAGAGAAATGATTCTTCGCAATGGATTCATATCTATTTAGTACGTCTTCTTAATACTTTATTAATTTTAGGTAAATACTAAATATTAATAATGGTGTTATTTATACTATAATAATATCAACTAAGTATTATGTTTTATGCTAATTAAGATAATAATGTGTGGACACTAATTGCTACTTAATGTTGGAATAGAGATTTTTGATTTTGTTTGGTCGTTAATTCTATGTAATGTTAAAATTTGACTACTAATTTACAATTGAGATAGAATTTTTAAAATTGAAATTGATTAATTAATAATTTAAATTATATTTACCTAAAACAACTATTCTACGTAATAGCATTTTGATTTGGTTATTACTTATTAATATTCACTTATTTAGTAGTTCCTTTTATGTAACCAATGGGAAATGGTGCAGGCCTTAAGATCTGGGTTTAATTTATTTTTAAAACATTTAATTTTGTAATAGTGCCATGTCATAAGAAACTTAATTGTGATTTGTTGTATTTTTCATATTATGATTAATTGTGAAGAAAAATATATAATTATTTGGGGGCTTGAGTACTTTTTATGAAGCCATAACTCTACTTAAATATTCACACAAGTACCTACATGCCTATACAGTTTTTAGTTTTTAAACCAACCAGTGCTATAAGAAAATGCTGTTAGTAAGTTTGTTTATTTTATGATAGTTTATTTTAAATAATGATATTATTTAGATTTGAATTCATTCAATGTATCTATTGAAATTAATTTTGTTAGAATTATTAAATAATTAAAATGAAAACCTAAATTAAAATAATGATTATCATGTTGCAGCTGCCTGGTCCATTACAAAAAAAAAAAAATATTTTTGTGTTGTACTAATAATAGTAATATTAGCATACGTTTTAAGGACTTAATTTTATTGTTGTAACTTATGTATAATATTTTTTACAGAATAATAAATAAAAAATATATTTGGACATATTGTAGTACAAATTAAAAATACCTTGGTTTATGAGAGGTTTATTTTCTAAATTCAATTATGTACCCATTAATATCTAAAATTATAAAAACTACCTATAAAACAATAATTAATTATCATAGTTCATATTATATATTTTATACAATATTGTACCTACATTTATTTAATGTTACTTTCTTTGAAAATTGAAACAATATTTATTTTATATATTGGTATTAGTTATTATAAGTACCTAGGTACTTACTTTTAACAAAATATAATAATGATTTATTTTGCTTAATACTTTATAACTGTGGTAATTGCAAAAAATATTTCCAACACATATACTTTGTTATAGTTTATAAGACGTATAATATTGTTAAATTATTAATTTAAGATTCATCATTATGATGTTCACAGTTTATATACAGCTAATAAATGAAATTTAAAATTGTTGTTAAGAATAAAAATAAACTTATACTTTATACTTGTTTTATTTAAGTCTTACTATTACTATTTACCGATTTTGTACATACCACCTATACCTATTATATTTGTTTTTAATTTTCTTATTAAGAACATGACTTACCTACTATGTACATTCGTCTATTATTGACACTTAAACAGAGGCGTTCTCAGGATATTTCAATGGAGGGGGATGAAAAAAATGGTTACAAAATAACCGATAAGGGTTTTGCCTTACATTTCCAATATTATAATAATGAATATTAAAAAAGCGGGTAGGTAAGTGGATGTCGCTCTGCTGCACAGTAGATTACAAGTTGGTAACTTTATAATGGGTTGTATTAAATTTGAATTCAATGATATCATATCATTGTATACAAAAAAAGATTCTGAGCGGAGACGGTTTGTTAGTCTGGATATTTTATATTTTATTACAGCCTGGAAGTTGAATTAATATTATAAATTTAAAATTACAACAAAAACAACAAAAATCATTATTTTTATTTTATTTGTTTCTATGGTGATAGATAAAGTGTTAGAAATTGAAATCCCATTTTTAGCGGTTTTGTGTAATTTGTCTGTGGTTTTTCCTGTGTCATTAAATAAATATTGAGAAAATCGAAAAATTACCTCTCTAAAGTACCATCTTGATCCAATTTGCTAAAAGATAAGATACTATATGTTGAAAGCGAAGAACTCCTTCTGGTAGACATTTTGTATACTGGAGAAAATAAAAATAAAAAATAAACACCGTTGTAAAACAAATGGTAAACGGTCACTTTGTACGGTCCATTGTTCAAAATGCAGAACGCGGACACTTTGTACGGTCCGGTAAAACTTTACATTACTTTGCACTATTATTATATTCATAAGGTGTACCTATATTGTAAATAAATGAAATATATTGACTTGTGATTTTGAGATATTTCCATATTATAGTATACAATATGTATTTTTTAAAGATTTTTTCAATATTATATTCTATTAGTGGTTTTGAGATATTTAAATAGTATACTATACATGTAGTAGAACCACCTACATATATAAATAATAAACATACATATATGTTAAGGGCAATGTGGAATACCCGAATACCGGGCAAAGTGTACATTGCCCGGTCAATGTGTTCCTGCCCCGGCAATGTGAACCACGATTTTTTTTATGAACCAACTAATATTAAAATTAATTTTCATTATAAATTATAATTTTATTATTACCTACTTATAATATTACCTACATTATCTCCATACATAATAATATATTGTTTTGCAAGCATTTCGGTTTTCATAAAATATTTTAACTTTTATGCATCAGTCATAGCGAGTTTGTACATTTTATGGCTGGTTAATAAGACGCGGAAAATATAAAGGTGCCAAAATACACTCTATATTTTTATTGAATGTTTTAGAAAATGTATTATTTAAAAAAAAAAATTTTTTAATAAACTTGAAACCATATATTATATTATATTTACCTATTTAATAATATACCTATAACCTAGGTAGGTACAGTTATTGGATTCTATGACCATTTTGTGTAGTCTAAAATTAACCTACTGGATTTCTACGGCATATGATTTAACCGTTTTAGGTTTCTAAACATTAGTTTAGAACTTTAGAACACCTTAAATCCCCATTCCCCGTCGTGCTGTCCATTCATCCATTAGTTACCAGATAATTAATACATTGGTAAAGCGTATATTATTTCCAATAAAAAGTTTTAACTTATGTCGGGTTTCATGAACAATCATAAACCATTTACGATTTAACGAATCAATAGAGAGCTAAAACATAATTACCTACAACCATTAAACAGATTTAGTAGACAATGGCTAATGATCGGTAAATTAAATTAATACATTTGTCATGCATTCCCACATTAATGAATCAAAATCGACTCACAACATACAAATATTGGCTTAATATTTTTGTAAATTTTCCGTAAAAATGTCTTTGAAAATATATGATTAAAATGTTTTGTAAATGTTCTTTATAAAATATTTTTAAAAATATGAACTTCTTGGCCAGAGAATATAATTAAAATATTTTCTAATTATTTACGCAACTTTTTGAAATATTTTAACAACTATATTATTTTCTAGAAAATATTTTTACCATAAGTTGGGAAATATTTTTATGCTATGTGGGATATTAGTATTATAAAATACTCATTGGGAAATATGCAGAATAATAATTGTGATTATCTGTCGTTTGAGTATAATACTCTCCGGTCGATCGGCATGTTTTCTTCGAGTGACTCGATGAAATGGACGCAGCGAGCTTTCGTGACTTTTATCGGGTGATCATTTTTATCGTCATGACCTCGGTCACAGTTCTGATGATGGTCCAGATGTTAGTCATCACCACCGACCATAGGCGCACATTGGGTGTGAATTTAGGGGGTGCTGGAATAATTTATGATTCACAGATCCGTGGGGGGCTTTGCCCCCACACCCCCCTAAATCCTAATATTTCTGCATTGCATTAGATTTAATTTGTATAGTGTATACAATAATAATATTTAAAGTGCAATGTATCAAATAGTCTGTATGATTGTACAGAAGACGCTAGGTACACCAACATGTGTTGTCTCCGTATTACAAACGTAGGTACAACATAGGCAAAACTGTTTTGCACGGGTATAAAAAACATTCAGGCTGTACTCTAAGCTAAGA